TAGCCACTGCTTATTTTGCCAAACAGCACCTCAAATATAGAGAAAACTTAAACACCTAACTATTTAGTTAGGAGATACTCATAACATATGCTCTTAGATAAATTTAATATTATCGAATTGTTTTTCTATCAATGTGCGTGATATATGATTTACGAACATCCTCATATATCTAATATGCATTTATATTTGATGCAATAAAATATTGATATGTTCGAGATTCATAAATCAGTTCTAAAAAAAAATCCTTATAATGATATATCTGATATTGTTATGTTTGAGATTTATGAATCAGTTCTAAAAAAAAATTCTTATAATATGATCAACTTCTATGAAATCAGTTTTAAAAAAATAAATCCTTATAATGAAATAAATCAATCCTTATAATGATATATTTGATAATTGATGATAACTAGAGTTATAAACTTACATTATAACTTACACAATAAATTACATGATTTTAGGAACTTTTGTATATAAAAATTGCTTGTAAGTTACAACATAAGTTACATCATAATTTTGAAATTATTGTAAGTTTTACAACCCTAATGATAACTTCTTTAATCAATGATTCAGGCAAGATGAACATATGAAAAGTAGACATAAAAATATATATATTTCGTATAATAAAATAGATTTAAACACTATGTCATATATTGTTTGTACTTTATTTACTTTTTATTCGTAAAATACCTTTTATTAAAATGACAAAACCAAAAACTAACCGTATTAACAAAGATCATTTGTAAAATGCTACAATTAAACCCAAGACCAGAAAGCTTGTTAAATGTAACTGTACATGGCATTGTGAAGATGGTCATTGGGTTGATCCGAGAATGCAAGCTAAGCATCAAAAGGAGTTAGAAGAATTTCTATTTATTACCTCAAAACCTAAAGAAGTTGTTTGAGATAAAAGCAAATCTGTCAAAAGTTTACTAAAAGAATCAAAGTATAGTAGTGAATCGGTTAAACCAAATTTATCTGGTAATGATAACAGCCTTTTCGAAGATGATATAGTAGCAGATCTAAATAAAACAGAGTTCGAGGAATTAGAACTAGATGAAGAGGTTTTAACAGATAATAGCCAAGAGTCAAGTGATTCTGATCTTGAAGGTACTTGAATCAATCTTTTTTGTTTTATTTAATATATTCGAATTGATTTATTTAATATACTTGAATTGACTTATTTCTTTTATTCATTATACTCGAATCAATTCTTTATCACTGTGGTTTACTTTTTTTAAAGATCATGAACTTTTTGATCTAGACGTTGAATTAAATGATTCTTGGATACTGTTATGGATATTCAAGTACCAAGCAAGATTTCGTCTTCCGGTTGTTGCGATTAGATCCCTTATCAAGTTTTTTCAGATGATTTTACTAGATGCTGTCCAGTCAAGATTCAAAAACTTTCCTATCAGCTTAGATATGGCAAGAAAATTGTTGAATATTAGTACCTATGACAAACTATATGGTGTATGTCCTAGTTGCGATACCTTATATGAAGCCTCGGAAATTACAAATAAGCAGGATAAAGGCTTCAAATGCACCCATATAGAGTTTCCTAATCATCTAATGCATAGCCAAAGACAGCAATGTGGTGTTGAATTGACTAAATGGGTTCTGGTTGCAGATGGTTATATCAGAAGGCCAAAGAAGATCTTTCCTTAATTATCTTTAAAATCACAGTTAACCATCATGTACCAACGTCCAGGATTTGAGTCTCTTCTAACAAAATGGACTAATCGAAGTATTAATGCCGAGTTAATATCTGATATTTATGATAGTGAAATTTGGAAGGATTTTCCATCACAACTTAATATACCAAATTCTCGGTTCTTCACACCAGAAACTGCGGATTCTCATTTGGGACTTATGATTAATCTTAACTGGTTCCAGCCATTTGAGACAACGGCATATAGCAGTGGTGTGATATATGGTGCAATATGCAATCTTCCCTGAGAAGAGAGATTCAAATGGGAAAATATGTTGTATCTTAGACTTTTACCAGGACCTGCGGAAGTCAAGTTACACAAAATAAATAATTATCTTGCTCCAATAGTTGATGAATTGCTAGAATTCTGGGAAGGGGTTAAATTACCTACTGGGAAAAAAATAAGATTAGCAGTTATTTGCTGCTTCTGCGATATTCCAGCCGCAAGAAAACTTTGTGGTCATATATCAGCATTAGCTAGTTGCTATTGGTGCTACAAAAGGTATTATATAATTTATACAATTTTATATGAATAATATCAAAGAAAAACCAAGTCTCAGGTCTTTAAATTTATAACTTTCCGGAATCAATACCTAAAAAATCTGAATAATTTAGTCTAGTAAGTTATAAATTTAAATGCTCGAAGTTTGTTTTTTTTCTTAATGTCACTCAATTAGAGATGTCTATTACGAAGTCACATCTTTATGCATTGTCAGATTTAGTTGCAGTCTTCGCAATCATTTATTTTGCTGCAAAACAATACAAGATTTCAAAGTTACAAAGTCGAAAGTCTATGTTATTATTATTATTAATAAACTGAATAGAAAACATTATTATATTCATTGTGTTTTTTATAATTTGCAACGCTTAAACTTTTAAATATAAAATTTGCTATCTTAAGATCGTAATTATTATTTGCAGCGAAGCAATACTACCATATAGCACTGCATATAGTACCCCTGGAATAGTATCACACTTTTTTTTACAAGCAATTTGTGGTCCAGTTTTCATATTAATAGTGCAATCTTTTCATTTGGTTTTGATATGTTTAATAACAAAGTATATAGTGATCAGTAACAATTATTTGTGTTATCCTTCCATCTCTCGATCTTTGGGGGTATTATTCAATCTAGACCGGTTTTTTTGTAAAATACCTGGGTACTGTATGCAGCGCTGTACGGTATACTTATTCTATTAATACAGTTTATATGATTTATATATAATTTGCCAAATTTCTCAACCCCAACAAAGGGCAAATACTAATAGAAGAAAATCGAATTTCAGTGGTTTCGAGGATATGTCTGATTGGTTTAAAGAACGTAATCCAGAAAAGCATCGACAAAATGCCGAAAAATGGCATCAATGTAAATCTAATGATGAAAGAAAACAACATGTTTCTGCTACTTGTGTTAGATGGTCAGAAATGTTAT